TTCATTACATAGGAGAGACAGGTTGCAAAGAACTTAACAATGAAAACTCTTAGGGGGGGGGGGGGGGTTATAGTATTTTGCTATAGTAAATGTTCCTTTAGATGTTGGTTGCCCCCCCCTTTTTTTTTTTGATGTTGTAAGGCCGATCACTGGCAAATTCCAATTTGGACAGTAAATTAGCTTCTTTTTTCTTCATTGCCAGATGTTTTGGGAAGTTGCCCCCCCCCCCCAATGCACTTTTGAAACCGTTGCTACGGGCCGGCCTTTGCAATATTGGAGCATCCAATTCTTCCCGTATCAACGCGAAGTCTCGAACGCTGGATTGTAAAATTTCATTCATCCATATTTTCGGGATTTGTATACCCCCGCCATTTAGTTGCAACTTTTTGAACAAAGTAATATATATCACATATGTACAAAGAAGTATATATACATAATTACTGTGTATAGGCTAATTCTGCCAGAAAAGGAAGTTTGATTGAGTGTCACTAAAGCTTTTAGAATGAAAGTCTGTGTGGAAAAAAAAAAACTGTTTCAGTTCAGCGTTCTATCTTCTTTGGAAGGGCGGGGATAGGGGGAGGGGGGGGACTAAAGTGAAGCCTTGTCTTCGATGTTTTGTAGAATTATTTCTATGTTTCAAACGTGTTACTTTAATTGATCAATTTAATTAATCATTTAACATGGAGTTGTTTAGTTTCTCCCGACTTTTTAGAACATTCAATTGCATTATAATTCTAAATTTAAATGATATAATTCAATTTTAATAATTTATTCAATTATAATTTTTAGTACATGTATTTATGATTTATAAAATACTGTATGGTATATATGCAGTGTTCAACAAAATACAAAAAGGCTGTAATCAAGTAATTATTACATACTCAGTATCTAGTTATGAACAATATCTGAATGAACTAAAAAACATAATGATGCAATAAAAAAAAAAACAAAAACAACGCAGTTTATGGCTTTAAACCGGTATTTATTATTTTGCTTTATGAACACGAGTGTTATAATACGGCATGCATATATATTCAAATTGATTTTTTTTAAAATCAATTTCCAGTGTTTGCAAATCAGTCTAGATATTACTACAACAATAGGCATAATATAATGAACGTATTCACCATCATACTTGATCTACTCACCATGAATTAACAACGCTAAATATACGAATATATGTGGGGTGGGTGGGTTAAAGATTCTATAACTTTTATTATACTAAGGAGCGCAATATAAAGCCGTTAAAAATAGTTCATTACATAGGAGAGACAGGTTGCAAAGAACTTAACAATGAAAACTCTTAGGGGGGGGGGGGGGGTTATAGTATTTTGCTATAGTAAATGTTCCTTTAGATGTTGGTTGCCCCCCCCCCCCTTTTTTTTTTGATGTTGTAAGGCCGATCACTGGCAAATTCCAATTTGGACAGTAAATTAGCTTCTTTTTTCTTCATTGCCAGATGTTTTGGGAAGTTGCCCCCCCCCCCAATGCACTTTTGAAACCGTTGCTACGGGCCGGCCTTTGCAATATTGGAGCATCCAATTCTTCCCGTATCAACGCGAAGTCTCGAACGCTGGATTGTAAAATTTCATTCATCCATATTTTCGGGATTTGTATACCCCCGCCATTTAGTTGCAACTTTTTGAACAAAGTAATATATATCACATATGTACAAAGAAGTATATATACATAATTACTGTGTATAGGCTAATTCTGCCAGAAAAGGAAGTTTGATTGAGTGTCACTAAAGCTTTTAGAATGAAAGTCTGTGTGGAAAAAAAAAAACTGTTTCAGTTCAGCGTTCTATCTTCTTTGGAAGGGCGGGGATGGGGGAGGGGGGGACTAAAGTGAAGCCTTGTCTTCGATGTTTTGTAGAATTATTTCTATGTTTCAAACGTGTTACTTTAATTGATCAATTTAATTAATCATTTAACATGGAGTTGTTTAGTTTCTCCCGACTTTTTAGAACATTCAATTGCATTATAATTCTAAATTTAAATGATATAATTCAATTTTAATAATTTATTCAATTATAATTTTTAGTACATGTATTTATGATTTATAAAATACTGTATGGTATATATGCAGTGTTCAACAAAATACAAAAAGGCTGTAATCAAGTAATTATTACATACTCAGTATCTAGTTATGAACAATATCTGAATGAACTAAAAAACATAATGATGCAATAAAAAAAAAACAAAAACAACGCAGTTTATGGCTTTAAACCGGTATTTATTATTTTGCTTTATGAACACGAGTGTTATAATACGGCATGCATATATATTCAAATTGATTTTTTTAAAAATCAATTTCCAGTGTTTGCAAATCAGTCTAGATATTACTACAACAATAGGCATAATATAATGAACGTATTCACCATCATACTTGATCTACTCACCATGAATTAACAACGCTAAATATACGAATATATGTGGGGTGGGTGGGTTAAAGATTCTATAACTTTTATTATACTAAGGAGCGCAATATAAAGCCGTTAAAAATAGTTCATTACATAGGAGAGACAGGTTGCAAAGAACTTAACAATGAAAACCCTTAGGGGGGGGGGGGTTATAGTATTTTGCTATAGTAAATGTTCCTTTAGATGTTGGTTGCCCCCCCTTTTTTTTGATGTTGTAAGGCCGATCACTGGCAAATTCCAATTTGGACAGTAAATTAGCTTCTTTTTTCTTCATTGCCAGATGTTTTGGGAAGTTGCCCCCCCCCCCCCAATGCACTTTTGAAACCGTTGCTACGGGCCGGCCTTTGCAATATTGGAGCATCCAATTCTTCCCGTATCAACGCGAAGTCTCGAACGCTGGATTGTAAAATTTCATTCATCCATATTTTCGGGATTTGTATACCCCCGCCATTTAGTTGCAACTTTTTGAACAAAGTAATATATATCACATATGTACAAAGAAGTATATATACATAATTACTGTGTATAGGCTAATTCTGCCAGAAAAGGAAGTTTGATTGAGTGTCACTAAAGCTTTTAGAATGAAAGTCTGTGTGGAAAAAAAAAACTTTCAGTTCAGCGTTCTATCTTCTTTGGAAGGGCGGGGATAGGGGGAGGGGGGGACTAAAGTGAAGCCTTGTCTTCGATGTTTTGTAGAATTATTTCTATGTTTCAAACGTGTTACTTTAATTGATCAATTTAATTAATCATTTAACATGGAGTTGTTTAGTTTCTCCCGACTTTTTAGAACATTCAATTGCATTATAATTCTAAATTTAAATGATATAATTCAATTTTAATAATTTATTCAATTATAATTTTTAGTACATGTATTTATGATTTATAAAATACTGTATGGTATATATGCAGTGTTCAACAAAATACAAAAAGGCTGTAATCAAGTAATTATTACATACTCAGTATCTAGTTATGAACAATATCTGAATGAACTAAAAAACATAATGATGCAATAAAAAAAAAAACAAAAACAACGCAGTTTATGGCTTTAAACCGGTATTTATTATTTTGCTTTATGAACACGAGTGTTATAATACGGCATGCATATATATTCAAATTGATTTTTTTTAAAATCAATTTCCAGTGTTTGCAAATCAGTCTAGATATTACTACAACAATAGGCATAATATAATGAACGTATTCACCATCATACTTGATCTACTCACCATGAATTAACAACGCTAAATATACGAATATATGTGGGGTGGGTGGGTTAAAGATTCTATAACTTTTATTATACTAAGGAGCGCAATATAAAGCCGTTAAAAATAGTTCATTACATAGGAGAGACAGGTTGCAAAGAACTTAACAATGAAAACTCTTAGGGGGGGGGGGGGGTTATAGTATTTTGCTATAGTAAATGTTCCTTTAGATGTTGGTTGCCCCCCCCCTTTTTTTTTGATGTTGTAAGGCCGATCACTGGCAAATTCCAATTTGGACAGTAAATTAGCTTCTTTTTTCTTCATTGCCAGATGTTTTGGGAAGTTGCCCCCCCCCCCCCCAATGCACTTTTGAAACCGTTGCTACGGGCCGGCCTTTGCAATATTGGAGCATCCAATTCTTCCCGTATCAACGCGAAGTCTCGAACGCTAGATTGTAAAATTTCATTCATCCATATTTTCGGGATTTGTATACCCCCGCCATTTAGTTGCAACTTTTTGAACAAAGTAATACATATCACATATGTACAAAGAAGTATATATACATAATTACTGTGTATAGGCTAATTCTGCCAGAAAAGGAAGTTTGATTGAGTGTCACTAAAGCTTTTAGAATGAAAGTCTGTGTGGAAAAAAAAACTGTTTCAGTTCAGCGTTCTATCTTCTTTGGAAGGGCGGGGATAGGGGGAGGGGGGACTAAAGTGAAGCCTTGTCTTCGATGTTTTGTAGAATTATTTCTATGTTTCAAACGTGTTACTTTAATTGATCAATTTAATTAATCATTTAACATGGAGTTGTTTAGTTTCTCCCGACTTCTTAGAACATTCAATTGCATTATAATTCTAAATTTAAATGATATAATTCACTTTTAATAATTTATTCAATTATAATTTTTAGTACATGTATTTATGATTTATAAAATACTGTATGGTATATATGCAGTGTTCAACAAAATACAAAAAGGCTGTAATCAAGTAATTATTACATACTCAGTATCTAGTTATGAACAATATCTGAATGAACTAAAAAACATAATGATGCAATAAAAAAAAAACAAAAACAACGCAGTTTATGGCTTTAAACCGGTATTTATTATTTTGCTTTATGAACGCGAGTGTTATAATACGGCATGCATATATATTCAAATTGATTTTTTTTAAAATCAATTTCCAGTGTTTGCAAATCAGTCTAGATATTACTACAACAATAGGCATAATATAATGAACGTATTCACCATCATCTAGATCATCATCAAAAATCATTTATCTTCTTCTCAATACCGACATCAAATATTAGCACCATGATTAGCTGCAAAAATTTTATAGCTTCATTATCAATATTTCAATATACATGCATAAGTCACTGCCTCATCCTTTGGACGGTCCTTGAAAAGAATTTTCTGAATCGAGCAAATAATCCAGTCCTCTCTGCAGCTTTTTCTTTCTTTCTCTGATAAAAAAAGAAGCTAGCTCATTAGGTGTATACTTTCGCTTCATATATAATATATATTGCAAGTCAATATGGCTTAAACACGTATTTTCAAAAGCTTAGTTTTATAAAAAAATCTTTCGACGTATAAAACCGAACGACACTTTGATACTGTACTTTTAATAAAGATATAGATATGTTATTCTACCAAATTATGAATTTTCTAAAGCCTTTCTCTAAGTTTCTACATATTAAGGCCAGATAGCGTATTCTGATACATCTTGAAACTCGCGATATCTGAATTTCTGCGAGATTTCGTTGCTTACATGTGTTCTGTTTCTGTAGAAGCAGGGGAAACACAGGTACATAGCACCTGTAAATGACTCTACACTGTCTTCCTGGTTCATCTCACAGCTTAACGAACACGCTTCATTGTCCTTTGTCATCTGCAAAATATAGTGCTGACATTTTAAACATATTAAGCAAATTGATACACTGATTGGAGAAAAGAGGTAAAAATTGAAAAAGAAGAATAAAACATGTTCTTACATTTTCTACAAGCCCAGAGGGGATTTTTTCTTCGTGCTCCTCATTCTACGATAAAAATAAAATAAGAAGTGTACTTGAATTTTACTAGGAAAGGCTTAAATGAAGGAAAAAAAAGTGAAATAAAGGTATGTTAAAAATTCTCATATAAGGACCCTATAGATGTACACAAAATAAGAAAATTGCTGGGTAATCATATATTTTTAAGAATTAAATGTGTTCATTCTCAACAGAACCTAGTGACCCAAAATAATGAAATAAATAAAAATGGCAGTATTAAATTGTCGAGCTTTTAGCAAACTTTGAAAAGAATTGAACTTTAGGCCTTACTTGAGCTCTGTTTCTGTTACAGCAAGGAAAGCACAAATACGTCGGCCTTGCGAGTGACTCGGCACTGTCTTCATAGTTTAACAGCTTGGACTCTTCTTTGCCGTTTGCAGTCTGCAAATACAGTCAATGGAGAAAATACAACAAATGAAGAAAAAAAACTTAAATTACAATAAAGTCACTAAATGAAGTTTTTATTTCAAAATTATCTTTGCATAATAAAGGTTTGGTAAAAGAATAAAGACGGCAAGACAAGTAAACAACCGTACCCTTTTTTCTTTAGTATAGCTTTGTCCATTAGTATAATTGTTGTCTGGAAATCCAGCTTTCAGTAATCTAAAAACCAGTTGCAAAAATAAAATAGTACACTTCGGAAGAATAAAAAATTGGTTCTTTGATTTTGGGAAGGGGGAGGGGGAGTGGGGAATTATTCTTTTGTATTAGTTTTATACATAATATTTAACAGTCAGAACCATTCGAACATATTTTTGTGTTGAATTTTTATCTGAAATTGTGTACAGAATCGAAAAGTAACTTGACTCACATTTTAATTTCTTTCTCTCGGATCTGTTGAAACAGCTCTTCCACTGTTAGCTCCTGCTGGCTTTGTGTTTGTGCGACTTCCTCTTTTCCCGGGAGTGCGACTGCTTCTTCTCCCCCCGAGAGTTCTGCTTTATCTTCTTCCGGAGGTGTGTCTGCTTCTTGTCCTCCTGACACCGCTTCTCCTCCTAACACCTCTTCCCTTCCTGACGCCTCTTCCTTTCCTAACTCAATGGACGCTTCTGATCCCGAAAGCACGACCGCCTCTTCACGTGAGGGTATTGTCACCCCTCCTTCCAGGGCTCCCCAAAGGTTTCTGTGTAATAAAATACGACATTATGTTCATGTACACGTACGAATCATTTCGTATTACAATACACTGTACATGTATAATTCAGGCCCGTAGAACTAGGAGGGGCAGGGGGCGGTTCCCACTTTTTTGAGTATAGAGTTTTGCTATAGTAAATTTTCATTTAGATGCCCCCCGCCCCCCCCCCCCCCCCCCACTTTTTGTCACTGTAAGGTAGGGTACTGGTAAATTCCAGGATTTGGGCAGTTAAGTTTTTTGGGGGAAGGGGGGTTAGCCCCCACTTTTTGGACAGTTTAGTCCACTTTTCTTTTTTGTTTGTGAGATTTTTTTTGGGAGCCCCCCCCCTATTTTTGAAATCATTGCTACGGGCCATTAATTACCAAGTACAGTTATGTACAAGTATATTTTTTTTGAATTCCATTTTTATGTATAACAAGTGCCTTATTTTAAATTTTCAAAGTGTATACCTTGCAATGATTGAATTTCTGTCTAAGGTCTCGACCCTTTTCTCCGCTTCGTTTTCCTTTTCCTGTCAGAAAATAAAAACCTTTAGATCTATATTTCACAAAAACAGTAATTTTTTAAAATAATTATATGCATATTAATGATCAAAGAACATTGAAATTCAATTGACAATGCTAAGCTTAAAACCGTAACTGTGAACAAACATATTATATTTAAAAATACTTTTTTTGCTAGAAATTGTAAATAAATCATAAATTAAATGATTTATTTAAGATCTTCGCCTAGCTGGAAGATACTATCCCCCAAATGGTCCCTCCTAAGTAATAATGTGCTAACTAGTAAATGCGCGTATTGTCGAATTCTATTTTTTTAGTTCCAAAATACGCGTTGACTTATATATTCAAAAATAAATCTTACCTCCATAATGGAAATTCTAGGTGAAGAACGATAAGTTGTTAACCCTATACACAATATGAACTTCTGACTACCAGAAAATGTATCAAAATTGATGACGTCACAATAGAAATATTATTCCGCAGGCTAACCATGACGTCGAAGGGCGCTGTTTCAGTAGTTCCATAGTTACTACGCAAGACAATATAGTAAAATATTTAAAAACTAGTATTCTTCATTCTAAAATGTGGATCATACCGATCCGTAATTTATTTTTTAGGACAAAAATTATTGTAAAGGTATTTTATAATCTGATATCAAGAAGGAACTCAATGTTGCCAAAAGACTAGTTATATCCCCCTCTTTATATGTACAAAGACTTGAACTTATAAATATTTGTAATAATAAATGTAAAAATTTTCAGTCCCTATCATATGATAATCAATTTCTTTGGCTCATGACTAATGAAGACTCTGAGATCCTAAGATCACTTGCTAGATTCCTTGATAATCTACCTTAACTGAAAAAAATTAAATATATTTGGGGATGTATATACATGTAGGAATGGCAATATATCATCTCTTCTGTTCTTTAATATGCATATATGTATCTTTCCAGCTACTTGACTATATGTTATTATTATATTACAATATGTATACTCGTATACATCTCTTGTAGATGCATTTATCAATGATTATACAATTAAGCACTGCTCATTATATTTAAGATCATGTTTGTTCTATCATTTGGATCTTCCTCCTTCTTTGTTTCATGTTTGTAAATCTTTTTTGCTCCTCCGGGGGCCCAAATTGGACTAATAAATCTTGTATCTTGTATCTTGTATAATTTAGGAAGCGGATTATAAAGCGTAAACTGACCCAAACCAGGTTATACGCGAATAATTTGGCCAAGAATTAGAGTCATTCCTTATAGTTTAATTTCAAAATCATTAAATAACTATGGGTGTAAAATTTCGTTGCTTTTTATTAGTTCAAATTTGCCGCTCAATAATACAACCGTAGTAACGGAAGTACCGGAAGTGATGGGAAGCGAGGGGAGGTAAAAACTGATACATAGGCCTAGCAGCCTTGTTGTTTGTTTACATGTGGTAAGATCGAATTATTGTTTGGTACATTCATTAAATCTGGAATTTTCCATGAATCCCGAGGACTGGAAATGAGAGGATTGTATGGATATAGATGATTCAGCTGGTTGTCAGGGGGGGGGGGGGGGTGTCCCCATACCAAACCAGGTTATACAGAAATAATTTGTGTTACTTTTTGGATATTAACCAATCAGAGGTTAGAATACAAACAAAATTAAATTATTATATTATAATAAAAAACAAACAAACTCCCAACTTCAATTGTTGCAAAGAAAATGTATCATTATACAACACTCGATAATTTTCTTCCATTTCCGTGTACTGTTGTACACGTATATATACATGTAATTGTGCTTTTATCTCATGAATTGACAGAAAACAGTCGTATGCATAAATTGAGGATATTATCAACGAAAAGAGTATTTCAAAAAAGTACAAAAAATTACATCCTTATGTATATGGCTGAAGCCAAGATTGTTCGATCTGCATCTCTCCTACTAGCGGTGATGACATGCCTCGGACAAGAGAACGTAGCAAACAAGATTATTTAATTGCTGGAAGAAGCGCTGTAATAAACAAAAAAATATGCGTTACTGAATAATTTTTCCAAAATGTAAATGTGTTTCTTGCATTGTTTTAAACCATCTTCTCCCCAGACCTGGAAGGGAAGGTCAAATCCGTCCATTGCTCTTCACATACCGGCTATATTACAAAGTAAAGCCATGGGATGTTAAATTTGAACATTGAGCTACGGTCCACAGAAGATTTTTTTTTAGGAGAAAGTCATTCATGAATCTCTTTTCTTCATTGCAGTATTAGTGGCTAAACTCATCAACAGAAGTAATTGATATCTATAACACCTTAACATCAGTTCTCTGTAAGGACCAAAATTTTACTGTAGGGCTGTGGCACACACCATGAGCGATTTTCATGAAACTTTTTCAGGTGATTAATGCCCATACATTATGACATAATCAACATTCAAAATTAAAGTTACTACCTTGGTTGCCATGGTAACGGGCTAATATAGATTTTTGCCACATTTACTTTCAATTCAAGCATAAAAATGCTATAATATACTTGATTTCATGTGGTTTCATCATCTTTATTATTTTGAGATAATTCATACATTATTTGAATTGAACAAATGAAGCACTATATAACACAATAAAAAAAAATTCCACAAGTCACTGCAAATTCTTCAATTGATGGCTCAAAGATGACCAAAGTCTTACATTTTGAAAATGGTCGTTTTTACCCTATATTTCAAGAAGTCTTTCAAGAAATGCAGGCAATTCAAGAAAAAATCACCTGAAATTTTAGAAACACCATAATAATATTAGTTAACTTTTATGAAAAGTAGAGTGGGGATTTTTTTCGTTTTCGGTATTTTTAACTTCGAAAATTGGCATTTTGCCAGATAATATTTTTTTTCAAAATGTTACTGGTTGTTTTACAAAATTTCTTTTCCAAACATTTTTCTCACGATAAGTAAGACAAACGGAATGATAAGTAAATATTATTAAAGATAATAAATAAGATGAAACAAAATTAAATGAATTATTATTGTTTCTCTATGATCCTTTACAAAGGGCAGGTAACTCAAAATCTAAAGAAAATTAGCTATTCAACTTTTCACTGCAACTTATTTCAGTAAACAACATTTTCAAATACTAGATAAAAAATGGAAAAAGATAATGGATAAAAACTCTAATGATATTTTTCAACCAAAAAAAAAATAAAATAATAATAATAAATTATTACATTTTCATGCATAGGTAGGTAGATATTAATTTAGCAGGGTTGAAATTTGATAAGCTAATGTTAATTTCCTCCATTTAAATTTTGCTTGTTCCCAGATGCATATCTTTAGATATCAATTTTATTTGGATAAAGAAATTTAGAATTATTTAGACTGACCATAAATTAACACCCCATTAAAAATAAAACCATTAATGTATATTCTTACAATCAGAAAACATACACATATATATTCATGTGTATATGTATAATTTTATCGTTACTTTTAAAAACAGTTTTTTTCTTTTTTCAAATTATTAATCAAGCAAGAATCTACATCTAAACATTATCCAAAATGTGTATTTAGAGATAAACAAAATGTAGAAAATAACTGCTATATAGCAATTTTGTAGACAATAGAAACAGCTAGGCTTGATGTTTCCATGATTTCTCTTTACATCAGAGGTTGGCCATTACGTGGTGTTGTGTCTGACCAGTCAAGAAGAATTTTAAATGGGTTTGAAAAGTAAAACTTGAAATAATCATCTTCATCTTTTCCCCTGGAATAAAAAACATACATGTACTTTAATTAAAAGTCAATTGTTTAATATCTACTACATTTTTCATGTGATAACAAATACAAGTATATAAGCAATATATATTTTTATTAAAATGTATATAATACTAAGCTAGTAGTTAGTATTTACACCTCCAAATAAATTGCCTCAGAATTCCTGCATGTGTACTTTAAAAAGCAGGCTTCCTATCACAGGTACTTGGGGACGGGACCCCCTCCCCCCCCCCCCCCCCGCTTCCCTGCGTTCCATACCCCAAGGGTTCTCCCCGACTTTTTTTAATATTAAATTGTTTTCTATGACGAATTCACAAAGTTTTTTTTTTTAATTGACTTTAGACATAAACATACATACATACACATACACAAACACAGACACACCACGCTGGAAAGCTTACATACAGATTTTTTAGGAATAAACATGAAATAAAAAAAAATATGAATACACAAGATATACTAAAATAATAATGTAGATGACATAAATTTATCTATATGTTTATGTTTTCAAATATCTGGTTCCAGTTAATCCATCTTCTTTTATAGTTTATACACATGAAGTTCATTGTTTTATTTATTTTTATAAAAATTCATACTGTTGGATACTAAAAGAGAACTTTTAGTATGAGAAAGTATGAATTTTTATAAAAGGTTAGTTTTAAATTATATTTTGGATTTTTCAATTGTAATACTTTGTGAATGTGTCATAGAAATATATTTTATTAAAAAAGTCGGAGAGAACCCTTGGGGTACGGAATGCGGGGGAGGGGGTACCATCCTCAAGCACCTGTTCTTCGTATTTTATCGCCTTTAACGCAGACAACAATTTGCTAATTAACGAATATCGTAAATAAACCATTAATAAATACAATACATGGTGCAGACTTATGTAGCGCTAATTCATGACTACGCCAACCACTCCATACCCATTGATTGCGCTAAATTTTGAATACGCCAATTTATGTACACATACAGTATTTTCAGTGTAGCCAATTGCAAGGTAAAAGTAACTGAAACAATTTACCATCACCTACTCCAAAAGCTGTCCCCATGCTCGAACAGAATCTTCTCCAAAAGAATATTGCTCAGTTAAGATACTGTCCGATGTTCAGTTCTCACGGTCAATTGCAAGGTTTCTTTCTCCATAAGTTAATTTTGTAACTGCCTCCTGCTTCTGGTATTTAGCCTTTGTGTTGAAATAAAGATGATAAAAACACAAGAATAAAGGTTCTCTTTATG